TAAGAGAACGAAATAATATGAAGGGATGCTATAGCTATAAAACCTCTAGATACTATCATTTCTGTTTTATTCTCAGGTGTTTTAAAAAGCTGTTATTGGCATTAAATTAGAAAACTATTAAGACTTAGACTTTTTATATCTAACTTAAAACAATTAAATCTTAGAACAGGAAAATATAAAATCCAATGCAATTTAAAGCTCTTGTATATATCTGGTCTTTGGAAGAAGAGTTATTTTAGTTAATGAGCCTTCAACCACCAAAAAAGTATTTTAAATAATGTAACAAAGGCAAATAAAACATAAGGACTTCCCTACCTGAACTCCAAAAAGGACACTAAGCTAGCTTCCCCATCTACCTTATAAAGTACCTTCCAAATGCTATCACTCATTCAGCAAAATTTACCAAACTCTTTCCAAAGAAATAACAATGCTATTCAATTCATGTTATTGAATCATGTACAGGTTTTCAAGTACCTTTAAGTTAATAAAGGAGACATACAAGTAAATGATTAAGTGTAATAAAATAAAGAATGAAAATTAGTGCTTTATTTACAAAGTACAAAATTACTGAGGAAAATGAGAAGCTTCGCAAAGAAAGATGGCATCTGAGCTGAGCTTGTGAAGATGAATAAGATTTTGAAATATGAAAAGTGTAGGGAATACGTAATACACTAGAGTTGGCTACAAATTATAGAAACCAATTCTGGCTAATTTAAGCAGAAAATGAATTTTTTGAAAGAATTTTGTAAGATTGACAGGACGTCTAGATAACCAGGCTGAATTAGAAGCAGGCAGCTGCAAACTCAACAGTAACCTAATAGACTAGCTAAGATGCATGGTGACTGCCACCATGAAGGAACTGTCCCTGCTTCAAGATTCAGAGTCTAACAAAGGACATTATTGCATCAACTGGTAAAAGCTCTATAAGGTTAGATGACAGTATTGTAATAATGTTAATTTCCTGTTTTGATTACTGTGCTATGGTTATAAGAGATTTCCTTGCTTTTTAGGAATACACACCCAAGTGTTTAGGAGCAAAGGGACATCATCAAAACTACCTCTTAATCTTAAAAGTTCAGGTTGGGGAATGATGGGGTGTGACTATGGAGAGGGAGAGAGAGAGAGAGAGAGAGAGAGGAGAGAAAGGGGAGAGGTCCAGGTACAACCCATCCAAACTCAAGTGACCATCATCCCTTCTGTACTTCTATAGTGAAGGACACCACAGAATCCCACCACCCAGAGATAATCCCTACAGTCTTTATGTGCATTGTCTTGCCTGTCTTCCTTATTTTATAATCAAAAGTATACTTGTAGAATCCTTTTTTCAAGACAGATTATATTTCTGGCAATATACAACCATAAAAAAATGAATAAAGGGAAATAATCTATTTTCCCCCACTCAAAACACAGATTGTTATGTATTCCTATATGTATCCTTTCAGAATTTTAAATGCATACATGTACACACGTCATAATTTTCACATCAATATAATATTGTCTTTTTTTAATTTGTCTCATGACATCTTTCCAGTTGTACACGGAAAAAATGTACATCAAAATGTTAACAGTAATTATTTCTGGGTGATGATATTAACAGTAATTTCTATTTTCTTCCTGATAATTTTCTCTTAACAACAGAAAAGATGAAAAATTTAGCCCCAGGATATAACCTTTAACTTAGGACATGACTTCCAAACTCTAATATAAAAGAGGAGGAAAAGAAACAAGAGGAAAGCATCTGAGAGTCACCAATCTAAAATATTATGAAAGAATAACCTTTCCTACATCCCTTCATCCAGCTGTGGCTGAAAACAGGATGATTTGTTAAGATTGGTAGCAATGATGGCAACTGCAGCTATCTTTATGTCCCAGGCTCTGTGCAGAGCATAGACATACACTGACACATCTAATCATGACACCACAACATGAGAAAATACTAAAAGAAAAAATAAGATGGAATTTTTAAGACTATTCCAACAAGGGATAAAAGCCTA